ATTTGAGGGGAAAACATAGTTTTCCTCTCAAATGGCTGTGGCCCCGCCCCCAGCGTGCCCAGCGTCATGACGTCACTTCCCTGTGACGTGCATGCGGTGCGCGCTCCGGGAGCCACCCCAGAGTCCCCCGCCAGCGAGGTAAGTCCGATTTGGCAAACCTACCTAATGCACTATATGTAAAAGCTATATATAGGGTTGGCTACGGAGGAAAGAAGGATCTTGATAGAGCTGGTGGCTCAGTGGTAGAACATCTGCTTTGCATATAGACAGTCCCAGGTTTGGTCTCCACCTTTCCAATTAGAAGAGTCAGGTTGTAGGTGGTTTAAAAGACCAAAAGAGTCCCCTGATTGCCTCTGCGAGTCAGAGGAGACAATACTGTCCCTGGCAGGCCAAGCATCTGACACTGTTAGGTAGCTTCATTGTCCATGTGACAAAAGACCTACAGTGGTGGCTGATTGTCTGGGGAAGAGAGTGAGATGACTTCAGCTGTTACCCTTTGTTGCTTGAGTTAGGTAGGTATGGAACTCAGTGACCCTTACAAAATTCAGTCGTAATAAAAAAAATAAGAACATAAGAGAAGCCAATGTTCAGGCCAATGGCCCATCCAGTCCAACGCTCTGTCACACAGTGGCCAAAAATACCAGGTGCCATCAGGAGGTCCAGCAGTGGGGCCAGGACACCAGAAGCCCTCCCACTGTTGCCCCCCCAGCACCCAGAATGCAGAGCATCCCTTGCCCCAGACCGAGAGCCCCTATCTATACCTTAGGGCTCATGATGGACCTCTGCTTCATATGCTTATCTAATTCCCTCTTGAAGCCGTCCATGCTTGTAGCCGCCACCACCTCCTGTGGCAGTGAGTTCCATGTGTTCATCACTCTTTGGGTGAAGAAGTCCTGTAGGAGTCAGAGGTGCCCGGGGCCCAAGAAGATGACCCAAACGTCCTTCAACAAGTGGAGATTCGCTTTAGTTTGAGACTCCCCACACATCTGTGCTCTGTTGGTTCTGCCTGTCATTCCAGCGAGGCAAGGAGAAGAAACTGACCGAGAAAGAGCCTTATGAAAAAGATGAACACCTCCGGCTCACCCGGAGAATCATGGAGTCCACGCATCTGAGCCAAGCGTTAGCTGGGATGAGAGACTTCGACCTGCTGTCTGAAGGACACTGGCAGTTACTGGGCACTCAGGACCTGGGAATGGGGGGCTCTGTCTTTATGGAGTTGGATCCTATCGTGTACAAGATAGGTAAGAGCTGTCCATGGAGAAACCCTCTTTTTTTAGAGTTGTTCACTTGGGGTTTATCAGCTCTATAAATACGTACTAGTTTTGTCCCAGTTTAATTAGGTCTCCTCTCCCCACCCCAAGTATCATGAGAGCTGTGGTTGGGTGAAAATCTACTTTCAGAGATTCATGCCCTCCCTCCACAGAACTACACTTCCCAGAATACCTTGAGGGAGAAGGAATGGCTGTTAAAGGGGTTTCAGTGCATGGTGGCAGAAAAAAGACAGTGGGGTATATCCAACCATCCATGGAATTGTGGAGTGGAACTCGCCCACTTCCTATTCCTGCTACAGCCCACTGAGCCCTCCCTGGGGGTCAGCTCACTTTCAGGGACAGCATCATGGGGAAAGTGGGCGTGCAGAGTGTGTGTGTGTGGGGGTTTGGCAGAAACCACTGCCTTTTTCTTCCCAAGACTACATATCATTCCGTGGTCAGAACTGCAGGGATAGATATATGCTAGTAAGACTTGTACAAGTTCAATTCGATTAGAGTTGCAAGAAGTGGAGAAGTAGCTAGGTTTCTGGTTAGGCCAGGTATGGCTCTGTGAGAACCATTTAGCAAAGGGAGAAGGTTTATGTTGTGATGCTGACGGATGTGGAGTCAGGAAGAGGACAAGTGGGGCTAAGTGAGCAGCCAAGTGTAAGTGACTGATGCATCTTAGTATTTCCCCGTATTTCCATGATGTTTTGTGCTTTCATGCCAATAAAGGTTTTGTGTGTTGTGAAGAGTGAAGCCGAGCAAACACTGAGGGCAGTATGCATACGATAAGGACACCATTCCTTGTCATTGCTGCTGCAAAGGCAGAGGTGGTCATGCCTCTTGTGAAACCATAGTTGAGACTAACTGTGGCTAATAAACGAAGTTCAAACCCTGGTTCGAGACTTCTGGTTTCATGGACTCTGGTTAGTGGAGGGGCCTGCGCACAGGCAGTAACACTACAAGTAGGTGGTTTAATTAAGCCGCGGATGTGTACTATGTCTGTACTATGTGTACTATGGCTGAACTTCGAACTATCCTCTGACCTTCTGTCCAGGAAAGTGCTACTGATAGCTGTGTCTCTCTTCTCTCTTAACAATAGATTATGTTGGCATGAAAATTGAGGAGCTGGCCAGAGTCAACCCTAAGATGGCTGTGGAAATGCTGAGTAAGAACTTCAGGGAATTCTGTGAGAAGTATCCAACAGCGGGTGGTGAGTTCTCCCTCCCTCCCTCCCTCCCATCCATCCATTCTCCGTCTATCTTCTTTCCATGTTTTGTCTGTCTGTCTAATCACTAGGCTGAGCACACTGTGGCGATCTCTTGACTCCAGTTCTCGGCTCCTGCCCCTGCTCTTCACTTCATCAGGATCACAAGTTTTTGTGTGTAGGGGGGTGAGAAGCAATCTCGCAATGCCACTTCCGTTTGTACCCAGAAGTGCTGTCGCGACATTCTAGGAATCCCCCCATATCTCTATAGTTTTTCTCATAGAGTTTGGGAAACTGGGTACACCCAGAAGCAACATTAGGATTTGCACGTGTCGCTCAGCCCCCTCCCCGTGTTTGTTCCTGCTGTCCAGCTGGCGACACTTGTCTGTCTGTCTTTCTGTTATACGTTTACCCCTTCTGCTGTGGAGCTCAAGGCAGCGAAACGGAGAGACCATTCTCAGTTTTATTTTCACAACCATGCTGTAAATTAAGCTGAGAAGAGAGAAACTAGTCCAACGTCACGCAGTGGTAGAGTGAAGGCTGAAACCCAGTTCATTACAGCACACTGGCTCTCCATCTGGGTGGCTGTGAAACACATCCTTTGTCGTATGACAGGCGTTTGTTAAGGCTCCTGGAAAGGAAACAGGTGAGGCTGTAGCTTGAAGTCCCGATGGCAGAAGAAAACCGGAGTGATGCTGCTCCATGACTCTTTGCTCACCTCACAGTGGTCTTTTCAGCGGTCCCCCCATGTCCTTCTTTGTCATGTGTCCTTTTCCCCACCCCTGCCAAAAAGATTTCTCTATGCAGGAGGTGCAGCAGCTTCCATGCTAGCAGCCATAACAAGCACACGTTTCCTCTAAATGCATGCACAGAAAATGTCACCTAACCCTCCTAGAAGTCTTTTCCTGGCTCCGGTAAAAGACGGGCTAAAAGGAGGCAGTGGCATTGGTTAAAAAGCGGTTCATCTGGCATGGGAATTCCTGGAGGTTTTATTTATTTATTTATTTATTTAGAGATTTATATCCCGCCCTTCCAAGCGGCTCAGGGTGGCTAACGAGCGGTGAATGCCGGGTTAAATAGATAAAATACAATAAAACAATATTACGCATCCACAATAAAATTCATAACAATATTTAAGGTGCTCTATTATCCTGTATATAAATCCCCAGGAGTCATTTCGTAGAAAAAGAGGTGCAGGAGCTCATTAGCATAACTCATTAGCATAACTTATTTGCATATGCCACACACCCTGACATCACCGGAAGTGTGTCAGAAGGCAACACCCACCGCTCAGGCTCCACTGGCCCCTTTTGGGTTGCTAGCTATGGGCGGAGGGGGGAATGTGCAGATCTGCCCTCACAGAGGAGGGAGAGCTTGTACCTGAACGCGGGCCGGGGGGGGGGCTCTGCAACTTACCTGGCTGCTTCTTGCTCCTCATGACCCCACTGAAGGCTGCTGGGAGCAGGGGGGCGGGGCTTGTTCCATGTGCCCGCCCCCTGAGCGCCTTACTGCCGGAGCTCCACTCCTGTGCGCTCCTGCAGGAAATGACCCCTGGAAATCCCCAAGATGGGCGGTAATCCCAGATCGACGGCCAGCTTTATTAAAAAGCGAGGGCTCCAGCAGTGATGTTCTCACCACTCCGCCAGGCGACACATGCCCACCCCATAATAGGGGTATATCATGGAACAAGACCACGGTGGTGGAATAGTGGCGGCGGCGACTCCTACTCAAAAGCCTGGTGGAAGAGCTCCGTCTTGCAGGCCCTGCGGAACTGCACAAGGTCCCGCAGGTCCCGGATCTCCCCCAGGAGCTCATTCCACCAGGTAGGAGCCACCACCGAAAACGCCCTGGCCCTAGTAGGGGCAAACTTAACGTCTTGGGGGGCCTGGAACTTCCAGGACATGGAGACTCCCCGATCGTAGTGCTCTTGAGGGAAGTGCTCTTGTGGGGGAGGGGTTGAGCCTGGGAAGGGCGTGGTTTAGAGAAGGGAGGGACCTCAGCAGGATTTAGTGCCATGGAGCCCCCCCTCCAAAGAAGCCGTTTCCTCCAGGGGGAACTGATCTCTGTAGTCTGGAGATGAGCTTTAATAGCGGGGAATCACCAGGCTCCACCTGAAGGCTGGTAAGCACAGAAAACACCGTGTTGAAATAATACACACAATATTCACATGCACTTCTGGCTAAATACATTTGATTAATATACACAGCATCAACTCTAGTCTATTGTAAACACTTTCAAACGACAACATCAACATTTCAAACACTTTCAGACTGAATTACATAACACGAAGAGTCCATCATCGCAGAAACCCACTCCAGTATAAGCTGTCTGGAGAGCCAGTTTGGTGTCGTGGTTAAGTGTGCGGACTCTAATCTGGGAGAACCGGGTTTGATTCCCCACTCCTCCACTTGCACCTGCTGGTGTGACCTTGGGTCAGTCACAAGCTCTGGCACAGCTGTCCTTGAAAAAGAGCAGTTTCTGTCAAGAGCTCTCTCAGCCCCACCCACCTCACAGGGTGTCTGTTGTGGGGAGGGGAAGGGAAAGGAGTTTGTAAGCCGCTCTGAGACTCCGAGTGAAGGGCAGGGTATAAATCCAATCTCTTCTCTTCTTCTTCTTCTTTTTCCTGATGGAGGATAAATACCAATGTATAGTCATGTGTACCAAACAATGCAGCAACCTATTGTACATTTCTCAAGTGACGATCCATCAGGTAAAGCTAGCAGGCAGCTTGTATTTCTCACTGTGATGATTCAGCTTAGCCAGCAAGCCTAGTAGATGTATTTTCCCATGCGGTGATTCAGCTAGCAAGCAAGCCTAGCGACACGCCTCCCGGGCATAACCTGCATGTTTTGAACAAATCTTCTTCAGGCATATAAACTTCTCTGGAACCACAGCTCTTGAATTTACCCCTGCATAAGTCAGATAATGTAAAAATAGCTGTTCTGGTTCTCCACCTGAAGACTGACAACTCTAGCTTGAGGGCCAATTCACATGTTACAAAGCCCGGGTTGGGGACACGTGGCCGACACAAGGACTTTGGGTGAGACTCATGCCTGGAGATCTGTGCTGGGCTGTGGAGAGCGCGCGCGCGTGTGTGTCCCCCGCTAGCTAGCACAGGGCTTAGATTTGCATTGAGATGCACTTCCTTTCCTTTCGCAGGCGTGTTCATTCGTCCCACGATCCCAAAAAGGAGCTTACACTGGACCAGGTCAAGTTTGTCCTTCATGAGGAAGGGACCGCTCATGAGAAAGCCCCTGATGAGGCCCAGGTATGACAGCATCTTGCCCCAGAGATAGACCCTCCTGTTTTGTTTTGTTCCTCTGTAACAACCTTACCTGTCCTACAGGTGCTAACCTGCAGGGTGTTTGTAGGCTGGAGGTCCAGAACATGGTAGAGGCATTGTTGCCTGTAACAGGCACACCCCTTTAGGGTTGCCGCCTTGGAAAATTCCTGGAGATTTGGGGACAGCACCTGAGGAAGGTGGAGTTTGGGAAGGGAAGGGAGCCCAGTTGTTCTGCGGCGCTATAGAGTCTGTGGCGGGATAAGCCTGCTCTGGCCCACAGGCGCTCTCCCACCCTGCCCTCCAAGGTTCCCACAACTCCTAGAGAGGCTTCTCTCTCTCTCTCTCTCTCTCGTAACTGCTGGCACCACCTGACATTTATACGGAATTGCCCACTGGGAGAGTCAGACACACAGACACACACACACGTCGCAGAAAAACGGATACCCGCAGCTGCCCAGCCTCTCCTCTTGTTTTTTTAGAGAGCTGACTGACGTTCTTCAGAACCCTGTACATCTGGATTACTTCAGGCATTTCCTCAAATTGCACAATGCCGAAACCCCGCTCCTTTTCTGGTTGGGGGTAGAAGACGTCCTTAAGGAGACTGACCCCAAGGCACAGCGTCTCTTGATCAATGACTTGGTCAGGAATTTCTTCTACCACAGTATTCCACCAGGTAGGCAAGCAACAGGCTCCCCATTCTATTTTGTTCTGACCCACTAACACATCCGTCCACGGGCTCTGTGGCTAACACTCTTAAATTATGGATGCGTGTGACAACTGTGCTCCTTGACCTGTTGGCCGTGGGACTTCTGTCTGTCTTGTACACCCGTCAGGATCAGCCAAGAGTCTAGTTTGCATCCTCCTGTTCTGTGTGTAAGGGCCTGAGTTTCCTCAGAAAGAACTAAAATGCTTATTCTCCCAGGTCCCAGCATGTCTCCACCCTCATCCCAGTAACCCAGTAGTTCTTTCTGATCTGGCCTGCTCATAAACACTTCCTGGTCAAGCCTGGATCTGGCAGCAGCCAGAGTTTGCCCTCAGTTTTAGGGCTGACCAGCACTGACCAAGGTATTTCTGCTGGACTCTCATGCCATTACACAGGTGTCCCAATCTCATTGAGCCCACTGGAAATTTTGAGAGGAGGGAGTGGACATCGCCACAAAATGGCTGCCGTAGTGTGCTGAGTCCGATCACAAAATGGCCGCCACCGGGTGCTGAGGTCAGTCACAAAATGTCTGCCGTGTGGAGCTGAGACCGGTAATGAAATGTTGGGAGGCTGAAAGCCGAGCAGCTTATGTTGGCGGCAGCTGTTTGTGAACAAGCATTCCCCACAGAAGGGAAGGTGATGCATGCTACTTTCTTCCAAACCACCTACTCTAGTAAAGTGAAGGAAAGCCAGGAGTGGCTCTGTGCTTTGAGGAAGAGAGGTGCTTTGGGGAAGAAGGAAATGGGCACCACTGCATCCATGGGGATCATTACTACCTGAAGAGATGAGCTGAACTGAGGGAAGAATTTCATTGATGTTTTTGTGTTCCCAAATCTGCACCATCCTTTAAAATCAAGTTTTCAGGGACTACTCAAAAGGGTGCTAAAATGGAAGGAGGGAACACAGTCCCCTTTCCTCAGCAACAAGGGCTAACATTCACGAGGCTGTCTTATACCGGACCCGATGCTTGGTCCATTTAAAGTCAGTATTGTCTACCAGGCCCACAGCTACGGTGGGGCTATTTGGGGCTCTGCCCCCTTTCTTAAAGGCACAGCCCCACAGGATCTTCTCCCCAAAAAGGTTTTTCCCAACATTTTCTTACAGTTTTTAAAAGGTGTGTGCTCCTGCTCTGCGTCACAGCTTAGCCACGCTGGCAACAAATCCCAGCCCGCTGCTGCTCCCTCCTGTTGCTGAGAAAGCTCCTTTTTGCTACCTGCCATCCCGCCTACCTGCCATCACCCTCTCTCTCACCATGCTGTCCCTCCTGCTGGCACCATTGCACATAGCCCTCAGAGCCGGCCGGGGAAAACACCCACATCCGAGGCTGCCCTGCACCCCTTTGACAGGTTTAGACGTTGGGTTTGGATAGCTGCTGGGTCATGATGAGCAATTCAGTTGAGAAGGGGAGGAGAACAGGATCTGCCACAGTCTGCCGCGTGTAATTCAGTTATGTCCCCGAGCCTGGAGGGGTGGTGGTGGTGGTTCTGTTCTGCGCATATTTTGCTTCCTCTAGCGGTCAATTCGATATTACATCAGTTTATAACCAAACTGATGTAATACCAAATCGACCACTAGAGGGAGCAAAATGCATGCAAACCACACCCCGAGGCAAGAGGAACACACGCAAGCAAAGAAAATAAGATTGTGGAAAAGCCCTAAATGACTTGCTTCACTAGTATGCAGTCTGGTGAGTGACAGAAATTTTCCATTTCCATTGGCCAAGATAGTAACAGACCAGTGGCTTTCCAAGAGATTGCTGTTCAGTTATCAGTTGGCAAATGGTCACTGGTAGCCACCAAGATTGGCTGCTGTAGGATCAAAGGTGGAAGATAATGAACCAGGGGTCATTTCGTAGAAAAAGAGCTAGGGGAACTCATTAGCATAACTCATTAGCATATGCCACACCCCCTGACATCACCGGAAGTGTGTCATAAGGCCACACCCCATGACATCACCGGAAGTGTGTCATAAGGCCACACACCCCGCCCCCAACGGTCCCGGCCGCCGCC